ACTTTCTTGAATTTAGCACCCTTGTGTTAGGAAACAGGCTCCACATTCCCGCAGCCGCGAAGGTTACTATTTACTGTGCCGAAAGCTTATCGGCACTCACTCGGGCTTGTGTAAGAGGCTCAGCGCGTATTAACCTGCTCCCAAACGGTACATAAACACACACACGCCCGTGGGAAAAGGATAAACATTAGGGCGAGAACCTAACGGCAGGCGCATTTTGAGACTCCTGAAAACATATTAGTCAACTTGACATACGTTGTAGAAAAGGAACACATTTATGTTTTTATAGTGTGAATGATTAGTCGTATTGCAACCAAAAATGTGAAACGCCGGTGTTAAAATCAGTTTACTGATTTGACCTCATTCAACCAGCAAAATGCAGCCCTTGTACAGGACAGGCAAACTATTATTCTCTGAAGCTTTCAAGATGTTCTAAATGCTCACAGGCATGAAATATTAGAATGGGGCAGATTCTTTACATTAATCCTTTCACCAATAATGATAAACTGTAACCTGATCACATGATCGGCTGTCCACTTTTGTAACCGCTGTCCCTGAAAGGATTCAAGAGCCAAAACTATGCGACACACTTCTTCATCAACAAACTAATCAATCGGAATCCTTATCTTCATCCACGGGGTTCAAACTGCATGAGTTTGAGGGCATCAAAATAGACAAAACAACAATGAGGAAGCAGTAAGCTGATTGGCTGATAGGACAGACAGGGAAGGGTTATGCAGGGCCCATGGCAGATTGTTTTTGACGAATGTGTCAAAATCATCAACCCAGATTTTATTCAACGATGTTCTTGGCCAGGAATTGTTTATCACATCACAACTGTCATCTCTTCTCAGGCACTGACCAAAGTAAAAACTGCAGATCTCTTTGTAGATGATCCAACATTGAAGGAGAAAAAAATTTTTCAGATGCACCTTGTATCAATACGACAATCCAACAAGATCTCTTTGTAGATGATCCAACATTGAAGGAGAAATTTTTTTTTTAAAAGTCACACTTTCAACACTTCAATATTTCAAATCAATCTGCAGAAATTCACATCAATAATTTCCACGGTTTGCATGATCGAGTTTCTGACTTCATATTTCCACGTGGCCACAATGATCATTGGTGACTATCCAAACAGATTCCATTCGATGTACTTGAACCTCCATATTCTCCTCCGTGCAACACACACGCGATCCTAAACTGAAATCCCAAATCCCTACGAAGGTCAATCAAAAGGTTCCATGTCACAATGTTAAAATGGGCCAGCAGCATGTTACAAGCCTAGTCTTCCTCTTCCAACTGTCTGATGATTACACTGGCTGACAGGGGACTGGACACTTGTTAAAGGTCATACACATGCAGTCGATGCTGCATCATCAGCTCCATTCCACTGATTTCTCCTCCCCCACCACCACCACCACCCTCACCCCCGCCTCTGTCCAAATACCATGTTGTCCACTGGTGGCTTCTAAAAAAATATTTTAATAACATGATTTGTGGCTAGTATTATGCTTGGAACAAAGAGCTGCGATGCTGGTCATAACGGAGACCAAAACAGACTGCAGTGTGAGTGAAGGATACTAAAATAGCAGACCTATGGTGCTTTTTGGCATGCTTTTTTCTCTTTGGGTGTCAAATGTCTTTGTTTTGAGAGCAATGTACCATAATAGAATAGAGTAGAATAGAATAGAACCTAATTAATCCTGCATTGGGAAAATCCCAGATTTTCAACAGGTCAATAAATTGTCTTTTGCAATAATTACGTGTACTCAGGTCAGGTGAATGTACCACAACACCAGTGATAGGAATGTACAGCAGATTTATACAGCCATTCATCACAAACAGTCTCAAAGGGCTTCACATGCCCACAGTTGACAAATATTCATGATATCTTCTGACCTTAACCCCCAGGAGGGCAAGGAAAAACTCAAAAAGCCCCATCTTGGGGAACAAGGCGAAACCTTGAGAAGGGACCGCAGATGGGAGAATCCCCCCTTCCAGTCTGACCAGGCTGCAATGGATGCCGAGCGGGCAACATTTGACACAATATTGTACTGTACAATGTTAGTTAGAATGGTATAAAATCCATTTAAGATGAAAACGCTGCAGGGAGATGCTTTCGGACAGGTGGTCAATGAAGAAATCCTCAAAGCAGCGCCTCGGAGTGGTCGACCCAGCTCTTGTCCAGCTCAGTCGGTGCAAATCATGTCCATAATGATTGGAGCAGAATTCGTACAGCGACATCCAATTGGGTCATCATCCCCAAACTCCTTCACCAGGTCAGGAAGGAGAGGGAAGGATAAACAGAAGAAACAGCACTACAAACATAGAATTCGCCAAAATGCAAGAGTAAATAAATGAGTCTTAAATTGTGTTTTCAACATTTAAACTGAAGTAGCTGCTCTAATTTGCGTGGGTAGTGCATTCCAGAGCACTGGAGCCCGAATAGAAAATGCTCTTGAACATGTAAATGCTGAACAAGAGAGGGCCAAGCAGAGCACTGGAGCCCGAATAGAAAATGCTCTTGAACCTGCGGACTTCTTTTTGGGTCTTGGAATCACTAAAAGACCACCGTGTTGTGAACGAAAAGTTTGGGGCAGAACATGAGGTGTCACTAAGTCAACAAGATAGGAAGGTGCTGAGACATTTACAATTGTATTGTTTAATCTCAGCAAGATTACAGCATCTGCACAGGTTAGTTATTTCTAATGGCATATACAGTATAGTTATGTATCATCAGCATAACGATGAAAACTAATGTTATATTTATGTCACAGAGCGGAAGCATGTAAATGCTGAACAAGAGAGGGCCAAGTACCGATCCCTGTGGGACTCTACATGTCATATTACAAAAATCAGAAGTCGTATTACCATAAATTACACGGTGCGTCCTCTCTCAGAGGTAAGAACTAAACCAGGAAAGAGCTGAGCCTGAAATACCAACACATGTTCTGAGGCGTTCTCATAGTATATTATGATCGATGGTGTCAAAGGCAACGCTAAGATCGAGTATGATAATATTAAATCGGTTGTTAGCGGCCATGTAGTAGTCATTAAGGTGTTGCGCTATGACTTTTTCAAGAATTTTCACAATAAACGGGAGATTTGAAACAGGCCTAAAGTTACGGAAACTCTCTGGGTCAAGATTTTGTCGCATAAGTCTTAAATGCTGCTGGTACAATGCCAGAGGATAGTGATAAATTAATAATATAAAAGATGGACGGTCCTAAAATCCTAAACAGATCTTTAACAAGTTTGCCAAGAAGCGGGTCGAGCACGCTTTTCTTAGTTTTCTGTTTTGCTGCACTAACCAGTTTTGTAAGATTTTCAATAGATACTTTTTTTAAAATGAGAAAGACTTGTCAGGCAACTATTAGCCCTAACACCCCCCCTTAACATTGTTAATCACCGAATCTAACCGAGGTTTTGGGATGATGTCCGTAACCCTTGTGCTGCAATTTCTACGATGTTTGTAACACATGGGTTACCCCATATGTTACAATTTCTACAATTTTTGTAGATTTTTGCGTATTCTTCATCACGTCATCTTTAAATCAAAGACACAGCATAAAAAGTGTGTGATATGAAATATTCCAATTCATGTTTTATTTATATAGATTTATATTTATGTTTTGGTCATAGCACAATACCGCTTTTATTGTCCATAGAGGGCAAAAATACAAAGAAAAAAATAAGAACTATATGTGTATGTATAGCACTGATGCCACTGAACATGTCGAGTGGTTGAAAGTGAAATAAATATTCAGGAATAATACTTTTACAATTTTTGTAAAATCGTATGTTGCGTGATATGAACTTATTTAGATCGACTGCAGCACATGGGTTAATGCCGTCCCTCAATGAGCTGAAATTCCAAAATGTTGAGCTGAACGGGGGAGCCTATTTGAGGTTGGCTGTTGTTGCGTTCGCAATGCCACTGTATCAAATAAGTACTTAGGGTTATTTTTATTTAAACTTGAGTATTCTTGAGAAATAATTAGTTTTGACTAAAACAAGTGCTTCTTTGTATTCCAGCAAGCTATCAGACCATGCCTGATGGATGACATCGAGTTTCATCACACGCCATGTGTCCTCAAGCTTCCTTCATAATTGTTTGACTAAGTAATGGTCCGGTATAGCAGTGGTATACGGTAGTATCATTACATTTGAGGTTGAAAGCCCAAATCTATCGTGTTACCATTTTTATGGGTTGCCTCATCTATTATCTGCGTGAAACCAAAAGTATCAATTATTGCCTTTTGGCTCACTTCCTTCTTGACTGCAATAGAACTATAAAGAGTCCGTGTCACTGCAGACGTTGCACCTGTCGATCTTTTGTTCCATTCTTCCCTCACTTATGGACAAGACCCAAAGATACTTGAACTATTCCACTCTTTGTGTTTTCATTGCATTTTTACCAACGTATTCATTGTAATTTTATTGTTTATACTTGTTCTCTTTCTTAAAAAAAACTTTTAGAGTGACTTTTTTTTGTGTCCCCTACACTTTAAATAGCTTAATTTATCCATGGCATATTTTGGTTAAATTGGGATATTGACCTAGTTCTACTGTTATCAGCACTGATTCGCCATGCATTTGTCATGCTAATAACCTTAAAATATGACTCAGGGAGTTATTTTATGAAGCAAATAAATGCTGTTTCATCCATCCATTTTCTAACCCGCTTATCCTCACAAAGGTCACGGACATGCTGGAGCCTATCCCAGCCGTTTTCGGGCAGTAGGCAGCGTACACCTTGAACTGGTTGCCAGCCAATCACAGGGCACACATAGACAAACAACCATTTGTGCTCACAATCAAACCGCGGGAAAATTTAGAGTGTTCTATTAACCTGCCATGCATGTTTTTGGAATGTGGGAGGAAACCGGAGCACCTGGAGAAAACATTCAGTTTCATTCAAAATAATATTACGATAATTTAGAAATAAAAATTTTACTTCAGTGTCCGATAAGACTCTTTCCTCCAATGTGCAGCTGTCGAGCCTGGGGGCCATGAAGCATAACTATGCCTGCTTGGCGCTTCTGACCTTGGGCAACTCCAGAGTGGAAGAGAGTCCAACCCATCTCGAGAAGAACAGTACTAGGGCCCAAGGTATTCGTGGAGGTCAGCCCGATCACATCTCGTCGGAACTTTTCGACCTCGCACACCAGCTCGGGCTCCTTCCCTGCAAGAGAGGTGACATTCCGACCCACGTCTGTGCAAGGAAAAATGTTGTCCATTAACTGTATTTGTTCTTAGTTCCTAGGCTTTTGAGCCACATTTTGTCTGGTCCCTCAGCCAGGGCCGATTTGCTATGGGTGACCCGGTCAGGGACAAACCCGAAACAACTTTAGTACTATTTTCACTGGGACACACATAGACTTCCATCACGATCAGGTGTCTCAAAGAGGAGGAACAAATTAAAACAAAGGACAACAATGACTTGAGTGGGAAGCGAACCAACCCTGCCTGCACCAAGTTTATTTTAACAGGAAAGCTTCCAATAGCGGCTGGTTATCATTCAAGTTTATGAGCATGAGACCAAGGGTGTCTTATTTCTATAAATGTGAATGGGCATGCTACCTGGGGTGCCTGGTTCCCATTCAAGTGAAAGGGAACGCTACCATGGACAACTGGTTCCCAATTCAGTGAATGGGCAGGTTACAAGGAGCAGCTGGTTCTCATTCAAGCGAATGGGCATGCTAGTAGGGGCAACTAATACTCATTCAAGTTAGCTAGCATGCTACCAAAGGCGCCTCATTCCAAGACCAGTGACTGTACCACTTCACCATTGGCTAATATTTCACATTGAAAATTTAAATATGATAACATGTATCTGAAATTACAATAACCTAATTAAGTCAGAATTTAAGGCAGAGGTAACGATGTGTTTACTTTGTTAGCCATAACGTGCTAATTTCGATTATTCAATCAACAGCACTTCTGACGGTTTCAGTCAACTATTTTGACCTCTGTTGCTTCAGGTTAGTCTGGCCTAACTAACCTGTCATGTAATTCCACACAATTAATGACATTTTAAGTAACTAATGAATGAAGTAATTGATTTTTATGCCCAACTTGTGTTGCTGTGGCATAAACTGAACCTAGGAAATATGGATGGAAATGTTGTTAGGAACAAGCACTCATGTACAGTTGCACAACCAAAAAAAGCCCCATGTTCACCTCCACTCTTTGCTTTGCAGCTCTCCCTTGTGTCATCGCTTTCCTCCTCCATTTCGCAGATGCTCACCACTTAAATAAACATACGGCTGTTGTCCTTGTTATTGAGGATAAAAGCTAAAGTCGGTCAAATATTGCCCTTGCAGATTCAGCGAGAAGCTTTATAAGAGCTGTGACGCACTCACCGAGGTGTCCTCTTGTTTGGCGTTTCTTTTCTTTTATCACCAGGCTCTTTCTTTCTATGTTTCTTTGTTTCTTTGTTTTCTTATTTTAAAAAATCTTTTTTTATTCAAGTTGCTTTCATCAACTGTTTGGCCAGGACAGAAAAGATATGTGGAGGAGGAGGATGTGCTTGAAATAAGACCGAGGCTTTCATACACCTGCTTTAAAGCCTCCTTTCATATGCTAATTTGGTGCGGATGCACCGTGTGGTCTAAATCAGTGGTCCCCAACCTCTGGGCCACGGACTGGTTCCGGTCCGTGGATCATTTGGTACTGGGCCACACAGAAAGAATAAATAACTTACCTTACTTCCGTTTTATTCATTTCGGAATCTGAAATATGTTTTATTTTGAAATATTACCGGACTCTCTGTTACATTCGTCTACAATATGTCACTCTTGACCAAGGTCAAGGTGCGCTTCGCAGTCACGTGGTAGGTTACCGCTAAAATGAAACCCAGGAGTAGCATAATGAATAAAAAAATAAAGGTATTTGGAAAGTTTCTTTGGGAAGGAGAAAAGGCCCAGCCAGGAGACAGAAAAAGAGCCTCCAACTTTGAAAAAAAAGAAGGCTACATTTAATACACAGTATGGATTTATCTCAACGGGAAATTCCCACGCACCAAGTTCACTCTGCATAATATGCGTCGATGGTGAGTCGTATTTTTCATGCACTTTGTATGTGCGGTGAGTCTTATTTTGAAGGCACATTTAAACGTTACTATAGTGACCAGAGAGCGTTGCGGCCAGATAGGACGTTCTCGTGTCATTATTCGTGTTTATTATGTTTCGAAAATACCACAGTTTTCATGCCGGTCATATCATATTATTTTGTTGTATTTACCGCTGGTCTAAATTCTGAAGCAAATGCTGTTTAGGTTGATTTTTCTAAATAGTCAAATGTGATTTACACATATTTTGGTGTGTTTGGGAAGCAGAGGAGGGGGACTTTGCCCGTATGCTTTACTGTCGTTGCCATTATTACGCTTGACGTTATCATGCTTCTTCATTGTGCTTTTCGAAAGGCCTCGTAGTCGATAATAGTTAAAGTGGTGCGACTTCAAGTTGTGTGCAGTTAAATTATTGCTACTTTTGCTGGTGGTGAATCCGGCACTCTAAGTATAAAAATTACTGCTATTAATAATACGCTGGTCTATTGCAGCTTTATGCCAAAATGCATGATTGAGTAATGTGATTGTCTGACAATAGCAAAGGCGCCGTATTTTTTTCATCCGGCTTTTGTTCTTGCTTAATAGGACAGTTCCACACGATTTATCTTATGGTTCCGTGGGCTGGATGCAATTATATGACCGGCTGGATGTGTGTGTGTGTGTGTGTGTGTGTGTGTGTGTGTGTGTGTGTGTGTGTGTGTGTGTGTTTGAGTGAGTATGACTCATCCTGTATGCTTCATACGCAAAGCAGCTAAAGCTTGAATTGCATCTTTGCCAGCATATACAGGTGTGTCGTCTTGCATTACGACGACTTTTCTGTGAAAGACAGAACCGTTTTTTATCATCATTAGAGGGGATGGTTCATTGGAAATATTTTTCGGAGGTCATTTCAACACCTTCGGACACCTTTGAGGGAGCCCATTGTTCCATCTGAAAACACGACTCCATCAAATCCTTCTTGATGTGGAAGGCATATTGTTCACAATAAAGCTTCTCGCATGATTTCTTGCATGATTGCAAGCCTTTGCGGGACCTTGAATTGACAGATTATTTGGGAGTAACGCTATAATTTAATGGCGATATCATCCGATCATCTGTGGCCGTGTGTCTTTTTGAGGGAGTCGTTTCGATAGGCCTCAGCTCTCGTTAGTGTCATCTGCTGTTGCTGCACTTCCCCGGCGACCGACTTGTGCTGAGCTGGCTCTCACTCATTACCTTCAACTTTTGTTTGTCATTGTAGAGCGCAACATCTGCAAATCCTGGTAAATCAGTGACTTTGCGCACGAAACGGACATTTCTCGGGCCGAGCTGTCAGTGTGACATTATGCAGACCGTTAATAGGTAAAAAAAAAAAAAAGACTCCTGATTTCATTTTCAAACCCATTTATAGCTGAATTAAAAAAAAAAGAGCCTTTAATGGCATTGGTTTCATTATTTTTGACAGTTAAATTGCCTTTGCTTTATGACTGTTGCTGACAAGTAGTTAAAGTGCCGCTATAGGAAGAAAAAAAAATTCAGCTTATCCAATTATAATGTGGTCTTCGTCGGCAGGCAGGGCAACTGGGAATTGTGACACTTTATTACTGACTTATCTTTACAAGGCCTTGTCACATTTGCGCTTCACCTTGTTGCTTGCACTTTCCTCCTGCCATGTCCCTTGGAAGGTTGCATTTCTGCCACGAGGACGCTAAGGCGTGTGTTTTTACGGTTGATAGAAGTGGTGCAGTATTTAAAGTGTAATGTTGGGGACTGGAAAAATGTTGGCTTCATTCAAACGACTTCATTCTTTGTATTTCCCCATCATGATTTCCGACATAAGCTCTGAATCAATGCGGAATCACCACAGAGGCGTGATTCACTGACGGCTGAAGCTCACTTCAGATTATGAAACAGATTTTTCCAGAGTCTGTGAAAAAGATAAAACACACCTTGAGCGCGTTTGGAAACTCCCTATGATGCCCCTTGTACTACTCTTTCCAAATGAAACGAAATTAGTTTCTAGTCACCCACTTTTGCAACACTTATTGGAGACTCAAGCCCTGCCGTCCTTGTTTGAGCCGTTTCTTGAGGATCTAAAACCAAGCTTGATCTGCGGGACAAAGGCTAAAGTCAAGGATACCTGCACTTCAATGCTGATTCACCATTTTCCCTGCATTACAGGAATGAGTTAAAAAGGAAGAAAAAAAAATTCAGCTTATCCAATTATAATGTGGTCTTCGTCGGCAGGCAGGGCAACTGGGAATTGTGACACTTTATTACTGACTTATCTTTACAAGGCCTTGTCACATTTGCGCTTCACCTTGTTGCTTGCACTTTCCTCCTGCCATGTCCCTTGGAAGGTTGCATTTCTGCCACGAGGACGCTAAGGCGTGTGTTTTTACGGTTGATAGAAGTGGTGCAGTATTTAAAGTGTAATGTTGGGGACTGGAAAAATGTTGGCTTCATTCAAACTACCGGTACTTCGTTCTTTGTATTTTCCCATCATGATTTCCGACATAAGCTCCGAATTAATGCGGAAACACCACAGAGGCGTGATTCACTGACGGCTGAAGCTCACTTCAGATTATGAAACAGATTTTTCCAGAGTCTGTGAAAAAGATAAAACACACCTTGAGCGCGTTTGGAAACTCCCTATGATGCCCCTTGTACTACTCTTTCCAAATGAAACAAAATTAGTTTCTAGTCACCCACTTTTGGAACACTTATTGGAGACTCAAGCCCTGCCGTCCTTGTTTGAGCCGTTCCTTGAGGATCTAAAACCAAGCTTGATCTGCGGGACAAAGGCTAAAGTCAAGGATACCTGCACTTCAATGCTGATTCACCATTTTCCCTGCATTACAGGAATGAGTTAAAAAAAAAAAATTGACTAGTTCTGGTTGCCTCTGTGGATCCTCCTTCATTATCATTTGCTACTTGTCAGACATACAAAACATTGCCAAACTCAAAGTTAATGAATGAACACAAACAAGTCGCCGTGGCAGGGTTTGCAGTCCCCGATTCCCTCGCGGTCAGGTTAACCGCCGACCACATAGCTATTGTGATCATCTGAAAAAGTTACTTTTGAATGAGGACCCTAGTTTTCAGAAATAAAAACATAGTGTCGGTTGAGTGTATTAAAATATTTTGTGAGTCCAGTGGCTGAGTCAGAGATGAGTTTGAGTCAAATGCCAAGGAGTTCAAGTCAAGTCTGCGACAACAAAAAATGTGTTGAGTATGACAGCCCGAGTGTGTGTGTGTGTGTGTGTGTGTGTGTGTGTGTGTGTGTGTGTGTGTGTGTGTGTGTGTGTTTGTGGTGATGCTATTACAAGCACGCGTCGTCAGGAATGGAAGCCATGGGTTCCAAGTGCCCACTTCCCAGAAACCAAATTTACAGCATCCGCAAGTGGGGATCTTGCAGTTCCTTCTAAACATACTGAAATGAAATCGACCTCATTGGATTTTGACGGCTTGGGGATCACGTATATTTAGATGATTGAAGGAATTACAATCTTAATGTTCAGAAAATGGATGGATGTGTCTCTACCGTTAGTTTGAGGCTCCTGTGATTTTGCCTCACCCACACAAAATCATTCATTTTCATTACCAGTCCAGGAGAAGAATCAACCAATTACTTTTATAAGTCTATTAAGCCTCTTGTCTGGCTGCCCATGCAGTATAAACGCTTGAATTTTTAATAGCAACAGTGGTAAATAGCACTAAAATGGCCGTTAAATGACACAAAATAATTTGAAAATGCAGTTTTTTAAAAAGCCCCGTCCTTGGGAAACACTGCTTCTCATACTTGAGCTATTTCACCAGACCTCATTTAGCTGATCAAAATTCAGATCTCATGATTAACACCGTGGGCGGAGAGATTAAATAAATGGAGAGAGCCTCTCACAACTACTGAGCGAATTTGCCCCAGGCCGTCAAGTTCACAGTGTTGTCAAAATACATCGAAGGCCAAATCCTCCATACAGACAATCTTATTTGAGGCAGTGTTTTTTTTTTTTTTTTGGGCTGCAGTTTGCATTTCAAGTAGAAGACTGGGGTTGATTATCTCATCAAATCTAGGACAGGAGTGTGACGTGAGAAGAGAGTCTTTTTGAAGCGCCTGCCAAGGAAGTGTTATTGAGTCGCTCCATCGATGTGATTGACAGCTTTTTTCTTTATTTGGAAGTTTGCAGAAGATGCTTTAGATCTTCATCATATATATCGAAAGATGACCTTTGGAGGCAGTAGTTTGACTGGTACGTTAATCTGATTTTTTTTCTGACAGTAAAATATGAAACTTCTTTCTTGGGGGGGGGTATAAATTGCTTGCATGGACATTTTTTTATTATTAAAGAACAATATGTTATGTTTTCAAGTCACTTATGGGATCCCAAGGACACATGAGCAACAACCTCACTTCTGCTTCCTGTCTCTCCTCCACCTCAGGCCCTTGTTGGCTCAGACAATAATCCAACAAAAAGGATAGAAAATGGATAGATGACAGTTTTGATGTTGCTACGAGTAAAGGTCAGCACCACTACAAATGAATGTGAGCGCCAGTGTACTGAATGTATGGCCACCAAGTTTGGGGTACAATTGGAGTAAATTTACAAGACATCTATTACTTTTTTTTCCCCCATTCATCTATCCATTTTCTTTACAGCAACCATTCACTGTCAACGCTAAGAAGTTATGTTTGGGAATGTGGGAGGAAACCAGAAAAAAAAGCAATTGTGCTGGCGATTGTGCTGCTGTTTGATGTTTTTACATTACAGTGATCCCTCGCTTATTGGGTTGAATGGGAACCGGTACCACGCGCGATATACGAAAATCCGCGAAGTAGGGTTTGTCCCCCCCACCTCGCCCCCTCGAGGAATTTGTGTGTAAGGGTTTGTGGGTACCAGCATGTTTAAAATATGTAAACGGTATTTGTACCGTATTGGCCTGAATATAAGACGACCCTGATTATAAGACGACCCCCTCTTTTTCAAGACTCAAGTTTGAAAAAAGACTTTTTGAACACCAAATAAACTTTTATGCAGAAAATAATTACAGTACATCTGAAACAAATGATTCTAACAATATATTTGAGAGAAAAAGCATCTTATTTTGCCTTATTCAAATCTTGATATTTGAACATTTAAATATGTAAACTAAAGTGCAATCACATTCATAAATGAATGGCTTCTGGTTTTTGAAATGTAAATGACATCATAACTTCTTCTCAGCTGCCGGTTAACCTGGCCGATCTTCGACCCACGTTTCTCCAGATTGTCGCTACGTTTCTCCATTTTCTGTTATCTCCTATTATTTTCTTCTCTTTTCTTTCTTACCGCTATTTTTTATTTTTCTTCTTCGTGCTACCGCTACTTTTATTTTTATTCTCTGACAGGGGTTCACTTTGGCCTGGGGAGTCAAGTTCAGCATTCGCTTCATTGATATCTGGCGCCATCTAGTGTCCTGACTGGGTATAATGTCTTGACCCCGAATATAAGACGACCCCCACTTTTTCAGTCTTATTTCAATGCAAAAAACACCGTCTTATATTCGGGCCAATACGGTACTTTACATATTTGAGCCAAAGACTATAGCAGTACACATATTTACTTAAATCTTTCATTATAAAACCTGATACAGTAATGAACACTCATCAGCATTGTCTTTATGCGGCTCTGACAGTGTAGCCTCCATTAGCCTCCAGCGAGTTGCTGGCCAGCTATCCCGCGTGTGCAGCCGATGTTTTTATGATTAGACAATTAAGGAGGCAAAGAGACACGTGCTGCTTTTTTCTTACAAGCCCAATCACCTCTCTCTCTCTCTCTCTCTCTCTCTCTCTCTCTGGTGCACCTCCCTCAGCCGTGCGCGTGACACACACACACACACACACACACACACACACACACACACACACACACACACACACACACACACACACACACACACACACAAATGCGCGTAGTCAACACAACACTGATCTCCCACTTGATGAGACACTGACCAAAGAGTAACCCACGTGATAAGACACAAGAAAGGTTGCTGGGCGGGGCTGAGAAGATGTACAGCCAATCAACATGGCTGTGCATCATAGGATAGATCCACGAGACCATCACAAACACTTTGCGTTTCCATGCTGTCTGACCTTCAAGCAATCGCTAATTGTGCCGCGCTCGACGTCATATGCAGGCGCAGGATCCCGAGCCGATCTCGTACCAGCAGAGAATATGTTCTTTGATTTATTTATTTATTTATTTATTTATTTATTTATTTATTTTCATCTTATTTTGTGTAGAAAATAAAAAAAAAAAAAATTAAGAGATTTCAGAACGGTGGAATGTTTATCAGAGCTTTTGGAAAACTGGAACCAAAGCACTGAAAAAGTGTCGCGAAGCAAAAGCATTTGAAGAATATATTTTATGTATTTTTTTTTAGTTTTTTTAAAAATGCATTTTTGTGGGGGAAAACCTGATGTGGCCCAGCCTCACCTAGACCCTAGCTCCAGTGGCCCCCAGGTAAATTGAGTTTGAGACCCCTGACCTAGACTAACTGTTAGATGGCGAAATACATTGTGCTAGCAAACTCTTCTCCTTGTTTTTTAATACTGTGGTGACTTGGGGCGATATGTTTACAACCGGGTCATAATTATGGGACATCCACACAATTCTCATCTCTTTGGCTCTAAACACCACCCCAATGGATTGGAAAAAAAACGAACAAGATGTGCTTTAACTGCAGACATTCAGTTTTTATTTGATGGTTCCTTTGGAGTCAATCGCCTGTTCTTGGGGAATTTTTGCTTTAACTTTGTCTTTAGCAAGTGAGATGCATGCTCGATCAGATAACATTTCAATTCTTTGCCTTTGGTTGCTTTAGCAATATGCTTTGTTTCATTGTCCCGCTTGCCCAAAACACTTCAGAGTTCATCCTGTTGCTTTTGTCAACAGTAACATCATCAATAAATACAAGGGAACCAGTTCCACTGGCGGCCATACATGCCCAGTAGAGGTACCACTGTCGTTATTTTTATTTCATGTGGACTTTTTTTTTCTTAATTCTGTGAATTAGTTTTTACAGCAGGAATGTTAGTTTTTAATTGTGATTATATTTGTCAAGCGCAAGCTAAAAGGTCGTCGCAAATTCAGGTTTAACATGTCCGATCGATGACGTCGACCATTTTGCAAGTCGGTCATGGATGGAAAAAAAAAAAAAATCACTCTTCATCAGTAGAGTATTTTTTTTTTTAAGACGTCCGAAAATCAGGCCTAAGTTTAGTATGATTGAAAGAGGGGGAGAAATGTTCAGAATCAGCCAAGCTCCCTCTGCCCACCCAATATGAGAGCGCAGAGTGGCTCTAATCTTTCTGATGGTTTATTTTCACCAGGACTGAGACATCATAGCAACTCTAAAATGCAAATGGATGCCCGAGCAATCAAAGGGGGCCATTTCGCATCGCTGCCTGCTCATAGACTTTGCACACAGGTATAATGCACATGGTCTGAGAGAGTTAGCATCCAATGATGGGGAGAGAGAGAGAGAAAAAAAAAGAAAAATAACAGTGCTGCTGTGAGGATAAAATAAGAGTCCAAACAGCTTTTTAGCCTGCGGTCCTCGATTATCTGGCAGGGCCTGGACAACAGCTGTCTGCATCATTCTGATCTCTTCGTATGACTCAAGGCTGCTGCCGTGATCTCCAACTGATCTGTGGATTTGCAGATTAAAGACACACTCTACGGCCCGGTCATGGCCGACCGGCACCCTAATCCACTTCCTGTCACAATGTGCAGCTTGGGTCTGATGTGTTAACGCATCTGGTTGTGAGTCTGTAACACGCAAATCTTCACGTTTCGTTTTGGAACAGTAAATGACACATTTAATAATAAAGTGTTCATTGTAGGCATAGTCCTCAACCCTCTTCTTAATAATCCTTAAGGGAATGTCAATAAAGCGGCATGGTCTCTGCTTGTATTGATTAGAACGTGTCTTGTTGGCCAGGCTGGGCCAGCCGCGATAATGCCGATTGTCATTTTTCACTGCTCTCGATAGCCCCGCGTGCCGGAAAAGATGAAGTTTCAACTCTCCAATGATGAATCCATTTCAATTACCCCTCATATGATCAATCATATTCTCATTATTGTCCGAAGCATGGCCCGCAGCTGTACAGGCGAGATTACAAGTCAGGCTTCCAAATTGAAGTTTTATTGCCGAAGTCCCAGTGAAATATATTTTCGAGTCTCGTAAGCGGATTCAGAGGCGTTGGTATGAACTGCCAGTTGGTAGGAACAGTGCTACGCTATTATTGTTCTTGTATGAAAAAAAAAACAATTGCAAGGCACCAACTATGGAACCATACCAGGAAAACAATTGTCAAAGGTACTTTTTCATTTTCAGTTTCTCTTTCAACACCAATGTACCACACTGTGTGGATAAAACATACTCCCCAGTGTTCCTAGATGAAATTTGCCAGGCTAAAACAGTTTTAAATGTTTTGGTACTCCAATCGTGCTTCATGTGCTGTTTCACTGGCGACATGAGGTGCATAGTCATAAGATGCCAGACAGACCATATGGTGAAAATACTGTATGAATACAGCCCGTAGAGGCTACGTCGGTCCACTTTCTCGTGCGGTTTATCACCTACTGGACGAGCCGAGGAAGTCGGGTGCGCAGAAAGCTAGCGGTCGAATGCGAAATGATCCTTGGTTACAGAAGCTGGCTTTAGGGACTTGGAATGTCAACTCTGTGCTCCACCTGCCTCCGTTCCGGTGGCGCACGTATTGCGCCCGCCAATCGTCCCTGTTGAGGCGGCGCACGTCCTGCGGCTGCCACCTGTTCCTGTTGCGGCGGCACACGTCCTAGGGCTGCCACCTGTTCCTGTTGCGGCGGCACACGTGCTGTGGCTGCCACATGTTCCTGTTGCGGTGGCGCACATCCTGTTCTGGTTGCGGCAGGCGCACTTCCTGCAGCCACCACCTCTTTCTGTTACGGATGTGCACGTCCTGCGGCCGCCACCTGTTTCTGTTCTGGTGGCGCACGTCCTGCGACCGCCACCTGTACCGGTTCTGGCGGCCCATGCCTTGCGGCCGCCACCCATCCCTCTTCCGGCTGCGCACGTCCTGCAGCCGCCACATGTTCCTGTTCTGGTGGCGTACGACCTGAGACCGCCACCTGTTCCTGTTCCGGCGGCGCACGTCCTGTGACCGTCACCTTTTCCTGTTTTGGCTGCCACACATTCCTGTTACATTGTTGGTGCAAGTTCTGCGGCCGCCACTGGGTGACATTAGGATGTCTGGGATCCATCCATTGAGGTGGGGTACTGTCATGGTTCTGTGTCCGAGTGGTGGCGTTGGAAGGCTTCTCCTCCAATGTTGCACATGTTGGCCGTCATGTCATTAGCTCTTTTTCTGTCCAAAGGATTGCCACGCTAACCACTCGGAGTCAAATAGTTGCGCTTTGGTTATGGGTTTTTGTTTGTTTGTTACTTTGGTTTATTAGTGTTTAAGACTGTGTTGTTGATTTAGTTTTAGTCAGTGTTTTTGTTCAGATATATTGTTCAGTACACCCTGCTTTTCCTGCCTCGCTGCTTTTTTGGTCCTCTACCATCACGCCCCACATAACAAGAAGGGCTGATGCCGAGAAACACTTCCAGAACTTGGCAGATCACAAAAGATTGACTTGGTTGCTAAAAACACCCCAAAGACTTAACTATTTTTATCCAAGCAATTAAAAAGTACATTTTCCATCATACTTGTATGCCACTTTTATATGATTTTGAAAGCATGAGGGCTGAATGTGACGATGGGGATGGAATTATTTTGAATTGCTATCACGAGAGTAACCGTGGTTCATTATTGACTTAATGCTCATTTTGCTATCAGTAATGATAACATGAAGTCAACTGCAAAGTCCAATAAGTCATATCAAGCCATGTCTACGGGATCTACGCTAACACTGAACAAGGTATGTACTGTATGTATACAAAAAGAAAAAAAAAATCACACTCCAAAGGCTGCCTCTCAAGCGTGTTTTAGCCATCAGATGCTCTTGGTGTCTCATGTTGACATATCAGCAATTACCTTTATGGTGCCTGAGAGACAACAATGAATGAACTCATGGTCGTGCCTTGCATTGCAAGAAATTAATGTAAGATGCCTCTATCACAGGGGTAGGCTATCTTTTTTTAGACAAATAAATTCAATTTTTTCAGATCTAAGAGTTCTGAGAAATCAGGCGCCATAATGAACTTCCAGGAATCAGTATGATAGAGTGTGAGTGTGAGATCAAATTTAATACACCTGTTCCCCATTCATATCTCAAAACTGATTACAATAATGAGTCACATGATATGCGGGATGGAAAATAGCCAAAATGGGCCCAATGTAGAGATTTTCACTGAGGGGTGGTCTCACTTTTGTTGCTAGTGGTTTGGACTTGAATTACATTGTGTTGTTATTTTGAGGGAAGAGAAAATTTTGCAGTTACACAAACTGCACACTAATTTAATTGTTTAATTGAAGCCAAGAGTCAAAAAAGGACTTCAGTGCAAAGGGGAAACTGTAGCCCTCAAGGCCCAAACTCCGTTGTCTTAATTTGGTCACTCACCTAAAACTGAAAGTCTATTTGCCACCATCATGTGTGTCTCTTGAGAAAAATCACACTGGGGAAAAATGTGACCAAAAAAAAAAAAATAAAAAAATCTATCGAGTTAGATTTTTATGATGTTTAAAACTAAAATTGGCATGCTGATTTGAAAATTGCAGTCAGTTTTTTTTTTCTTCACAGTTGACCAGATCAGCAAGGTTCCACTGAGAAGCTTGAGTAAGATTTGCCAATTTATTCGATTCAATTTATCGACAGCTATCTGGGAATTTATTTGTGCAATCACAATTGAGACAGTGCGGTGAGAGGTGTGTGCAGCTCCCAATAGGTCAGTACGATCAATATCTGCAAACAGAAACATAGTTTGAATTCTGAGAATTATTGCTGTTTTTTTTTTTTTTTTAACTTAACCTTGTAACCATAACCATTGTGAGTCTCGTTTTGTTTTATGCTGGGGTTTTTTGTTGTTTTCAAAGCTTGTAACTTTTCTTTGCATTTTATTTACACACATACACATTTATTTCATATTTTTTCACAAAATGGGGATTCTACGGCTCAAAATCTTGACGTGATAGAGAAAAACTGACATCCGTTTTTGGATTTTACATCCCAAAATTCGGTGAAAATTACTGTCAGAAAAAAAGAGTTTAATGATTTGGAAGAATACAATTTGTCATAAAAAAAATATATCGTGGTTACAGCTGGGATACCTGTTGTCATATTAGCGCTATTAAAACAAAACAAAACATTAGACTAACTGGTTCGTGCATATAAAATCACTCTGTTGGCTTCTTTATCATCGGGCAAAAACAACAATTACTTCATTTTGTTCCGGCTTTGTGAAGCATACCTCATTAACATTCCCGAGAATTACTTTGACCATAAATATAATAGCCGCTGTTGACTCAGTAGATGCAAAATAACAATTACAGTCTCTGTCAAAAGTGCCTTCCTACTTCACTTTATGCTGCAATCATTTCACAAGGTTGTCCTTTAACTTTGGTCAGGTACCATATAGCTGCTTTTAACAGTCATGGGCTGCTGCCGGTGCTTAATGGGAGCCGTGAGACTGAACATAAAGTTGCAGGCAGTTAACTCTTAATAATGAGATCAAACTTTCTATATGGCTTCTATGGACCCACAGGAACTGCTGAACAACTTATAATGTGTTGTTACTATTACCAAGACCGAATTCAGTCCATCTCTAAACATGGACAAACACTCACATGAAATGGGGCATCTTTATAGAGGGGAGTATAAGCATTTAAGATTAATATCATTTTCATATCAGCACCCGTTAAGGTTGCATATTAAACTACTACTTTGTATTAAAGCACCAAATGTCGATATTTTAAGCATCTTGAGTGTTTTTAACCCTTTCATGCACCCTGAATCCTGATCACATGAGAAGCTGTCCACTGTAGTAACCGCTGTCCCCGAAAGTTTCAAGTGGGAATCAAATTCTATTTCTATTAAGGAAACACAAACATAAGGGCATCTTTATAGAGGGGAGTATAAGCATTTAAGAGGAATATCATTTTCATATCAGCAAGGTTGCATATTAAACTACTACTTTGTATTAAAGCACCAAATGTCGATATTTTAAGCATCTTGAGTGTTTTTAACCCTTTCATGCACCCTGAATCCTGATCACATGAGAAGCTGTCCACTGTAGTAACCGCTGTCCCCGAAAGTTTCAAGTGGGAATCAAATTCTATTTCTATTAAGGAAACACAAACATAATACAGTGGCACCTGTACTTACGAAATTAATTGGCTCTGGAAGAAATTTCTTAACTTGAAAATTTTGGAAGTAGAGATGCGTTTTCCATGTAAATTCCCTAATTCGTTCCAAACCCCCCAAAATTCAGACATGAATGTTTCCTCAAGCATAAAGATGCATCTAAATATGTAACAAATACATGTTACAATTAGATCATTGCACAGTAAATGTGCATAATGTAAAAAAAACAAAGAATAAAGAATAAAAATGATGGTCATCTGACTTTTAACTGCGTCATCATTTTTTAAATCCCCTTTAGTCCATGTTCTCTCCCAGAAGTGCTTTTTGCCTGGCGTTTTGAAAAGAACTGATCCAAGGACGTTTGCATTTGTCGGCTTTTAACAATCCTTCGAAAATGTCCAAGGTAAACATCAGCATAGTGAGCGATCGCCCGACTGGTGAACACTTTTTCTGGGTGATTCACATTTCCGTAAAACGATCGGCACGCCTCATGGCCCGAGGGGCGAATGACGAGGACGCTGCATCGACATATATCTATCGGTATACACACACGGGAGAGCTCCCTCTTAGCCAATGGGACGCTAGCTAAAAGCCAATGGCTGAGCAGCTAAAAGTATGTTGCGTTCAGGAAACTCAGAACTGTGACCAGCAACCCATGCCGTGTTTTTACCTTTCGTATCTTGAAATTTCTTTCGTAACAAGAGGCAATATTTTCCTGTTGAGGCATTTTGTAACTTGAAAATTTCATATGAAGGGACGTTCGTAAGTAGAGGTACCACTGTACACTGCATTTAATTTTAAGTGCTCCGTGGCTCACTTACCGAAGCGTTTTCAGAAAAGGTCAGAAAAAAGAATTACTTGTTTGTTTAAATACGGAAAAAATCAGTCAGTTTTCCTTCATTTGTCCCCTTTAAGTAACCAAAGATGATTCCTTGCCTTGTAAAGGAGTACATGTTTCCTTATAGTGGCCTCAATGGCAACACTGAACTAATGAATGTAACATCCATACTATATGTATGACTGATTGCCAATTTCACATGTCGGAATCAGCAACCCTGGCAGGCCAATAAGCGTAAAATGTCGCCATCTCGTCACAGACTCATAGAAGTCATACCAATTTTTCAGACACACCCGCTTTTGAAATCAATATCGTTTCTAATATGCAGATCGTGTCAGCCATGGGCTAGGAGACTGATGTTTGTGGCGTCCTGCTAATCAATAAGCAGATGGCTCCTCAGCATCACTTCAGTTGAATTCAAATTTACTGCCTCGTGTTTGATTAGATGGAAATGTTGTGTGCTTACTCAGGGGGTTGCTTCACCTCACCGCCACCTGCTTTAAGTGTTATTTCCCAGCCTGCGGATGAGTGTCCCTTTACCCCTGATTAAACCCTTCAAGTAAAGTCTTCATCCTTGCAAGAGGCTGCGCAGAGAATTCTGTCTGCACGTGTACCCCGGCCCACGTTGTCCAACAGAGAGATGGGAAGAAGCGTAGGCGGGGGGTGTGGGGGGGGTATATGGTGCAAGCAGGGTTGTAGGTCATGAGGCTAAGTGGCTAACTGCTGCTCACCAGTGTGATGTGGAAGAAGATGAAGAGGG